TGGCTTGAGTGGTTCCCATGGTGTGTAACCATGCTCACCATATACTGTGTATAACCCCCCCTCAAACTCAAATAGGTGTGAAGATAGAAACCTATTTGAGGTTGAAACAAAGGGATTGATAAAGCGGACCGATGTAGAAGACACTGTATGAGTGTGTATATAGGTTGTCCAAAAGATATACATGGATATAGATATCGAGCCCTCAAAAGTCGTGCCCTCAAAAGGTGTGCCATCAAAAGGCGTGCCCAATTCATAAAAAGGTGTGCCGGACATTATGGCGAGGCGCGGGACTACCTTGGCTTGCGCGCCCGTTTTGTCGTCTGCCGGCAAGTGGCGCGCGATGCGCGGATCGGCCCTAGCTATTTAAACCAAGGGTGAGGCGGAGGCTGTGCAAACCAGTCTGAAACCTCTGAACTCTCGGAGAGCTTGTCTCTAAGAGCTGCAAATCTTGAAACACTCTGTAACCAACCCTGTCTGACAGTACCAATCGGTAATCGCTGCTTCTCTGAAACACTTAGCAACCCAAAAACATGGCCTCGTCTTCCCGTTCAGCTACCCAGAATATGGCCTCTTCGTCCCGTGGTCTGCTCACTCTCTTTCCCGACCTCAACGAGTCAACAAGAGAGATAACTGGTGCGGTGGCCAGTGAACCTCAACCAAGCGCCTCTGGTTTTGCTCCGTTGAACTTTCCGATGCGGTCGGTGGAGCAAAAAATGGCGGTGCAAACTGATATTGAGGCCAATCAGTATACTTTGAAGTCATGTGTGGAGACCATGACGGCGGTCATAAACCTGTCGCACCGACTGCAGAGTAGGACAAATGAGGTGCAGCAGTTAAACGCCCAGCTGGCTCTGCTCATTTTTATAAAAATCAATTTTACCTGTATCTTAATCAGTATCAAAAGGTTATACCTTTTACAGAATGGTTTTATTATTACCAGAAAAATTTACCAGAACATCAGCTGCATGTTTTAGACAATTTTTATAAACATGGAAAAACACTGATGGTAGAGCCATTAGAGCGCTATACATCCCTCGACAAAATCTTTAGAATTAGCCTTTAGTGTCTCCACAACAGAAACACTAGCTATAACTGCATATGTTAAACCTGCAACTAAAGAAGATAAGCTTAAAGACTTTGTTAAAGTCTCTGATCTGAACTCTGTCCTCTACTGTAGGACAACAACTAACCAGATTTGAGACACTAGGGGTGTGCTAAAACCAAGTGTGTGACACAAGCACGTTTGTCAACAACTTATAGGAGATACAAGCCCGGAGTAATTTAATACAAATATGGCTAAACCCCAACCGCGACTTGGGTGATGTCAACTTGCTCATTCTTAATTTTATTCATACATTTAGGCACAAAACTAGAAATAGTACTATTCATATTATCATCATAATTAACATAGATTAATTCATATATGATCTCATGTACGGATTATGTTGATGAATGGTCAAGAATATTATGATAATAATAAATTGCGTTTCTCAGGTGAGCAAACCTATCTCAAATATGATTTGGTTGAAATCTTCGTGGAGGATATTCTAATTCTAATTCTAATTTTTATAATTATTTCTGATACTTATGCTGTTGAGTTAATACATAAAATCTACTAAGAACAGTTTCATTATTCATAAACCATTAAGAAATACTTACAATGATATAATCCAAGCACCGCTGCAGAATTTATTTTACTAAAGATATTACAAAAGAGATAGATAGAAAACTAGTACTAAAAATTGAACATGCCTTAACAAGGGTGAAGCCTTCCCTTATATAGATAATCCTGATATCTATCGAGATAAGATGGAAGACAAGTGGCGTGTTCTAGTTGGATGGAGTCGATCGCCCATATCTTCATCCTTATTCTTATTGGACTCACATGGATAAATGGAGACAGCTGGAATCTCCTTTTCTAAATGGAAGCATTATTTTGCTTTTACTGTTTTTGGCTGGATGCTTTGGATGAGTGCTTGCAATTATGCCATTTTCTTGCTAGTGATATTGACTAGAAAGATAGTTGTATGGATAGTTATCCTGATTCTGATAGAAAGCCATAATTTTAGGCTTTTCCTTTTCCTTCCCTATTGGATTCAATTTTTCAGTAATCAAAGAGGTGAGTGAGTCCCAAAAATCCCCAATAGTGGCCCCCTCCTCCGGTTCTTGTGATTCTCTTGCTAGAATGGCGAAAGCATTGTCATCTTCCTCATGACTTGTTGCTGACTTCATATAGAGACATCATCTTTGGATTTTGGAGTAATAGATTGAAGAAATTGTTCCTTCATGAAATCCATGCATTTAGCAATTAATTTTGGTTCTGAGAGGTCAGGATGTTGCTTTCTCAGTACAGTTTGGATTTGAATGAATGGATTTTCTAATGACGAGAGCCGTGGTACAATTTTAGGAGCTAAATCCCAACAGGCTTTGGTGTTAGTCTTAATTTGTTGGATTAATTCTGTTTGCTTAGGACCCATACCCTTATTCCTTCATTTAAAGAAGAAAACTCTTTTTAAACGGGAAACTTTATTATGAAAATCACATTTGGTAATCCCACCTCTAGATCAATGGAATACTGAATTTAATCATAAAAATAGCAAAAGATTTGGACATGGTTTGCCATAGAGTGAATTCTGCTCTTTTAATTTTTGGTAAGAAGTCCAAAGAGGGGCCAAACATAAAACCAATTAGGGATGCCTTTACAGATTGTATCTTGGCAAACTTTAATAAACCAAGAATGATTGTGGATGGGATTTTGATAATAAAATGCTTTATTAAAGCATCAATATAGTCCTAATAACTATATTTTTGATTATGTTGTCCTATAGACAATGTTTTGGTAGTATGAGGATGAATACCCCACTGATCAATTTTCATGATGTTTCGGATAATAGCCTTGCTAAATTTGATAGGGCTATTTGTTTGGATTTCATCCAAAAGATGGTAAGGAAATCAACTACTTTGGTATCTTTGAGAATATTCTCATAAATGTACCTACACTGATCAAAATGAGGAGTGAATTGATGGGTAGTTAGATACTTAGTTTTTATTTCCTGGGCATCAACCATTGTATTAATTTATTTATTTTTCTTGTATGTGGTTAGTTTTGATGTATGGTTAACCTATTTTCTAACCATTTTTTTGAATTTTATAAGGCTTTTGAATAGGCTTTTGTCGTACAGTTGATGTAGGCGTTTCCTTTTGTACATGGGTTGCATGCTCTTGCTTTTGGAGCCCCTTTTAAACAAAATTTTTACTTAAAAAAAAAAAAAAAGGTCTACTAGTCTCACTGCATTGCATTTATATTTTTTTTGCACATCTTAGAAGCAATGAACGCGGGACACATTTTTATGCATTTCTAAAACCAAAAATGAGTGAGACCCCCATCACCCCCAGTGAATGCTAATTGGTCTTTTTTTTTTTTTCTTTTTTTTTTGTCCTCCTCTCGTGTTGACCCCCACGTGTATGTGGGGGTGGTGGGGGTCTGTATCAGTTTTGTTCTAAAACTAGGTGAGATCAAGTGGTGGATGCCTAATCATGATGATGAGTGCCCTACTTTTTGAATGATACCTATTAGGTTGGATAAAATAAAATAAATAATAAATAAGGAAGTCTATATTATGTTACATAGACTTTTCAAGATAAATCAAATACCTGTGTTGGACATTCGATACTTGGACAAGGGTTTGGGATATATGTGTCGCATACTTTTCATCGGACACTTCTTATATATTTGTGTTCAACACTATTATTTTATGTATATACACTATTATTATATGTATATATTATTGTATAATTGTTGTATAAATGTCTTTTTGACACTATATGTTACGGATAATAGCATTTTATCTCACATAATAGATTAAAATTATAAAAATATGACCTTTATTTGCCGAGTTCGCATACCCTTAAATGTGAGGCTTGATGAGCCTGACCTCTACCTGTACCCGTACCTGAGTCCATATAACATAGAGTCTATCTGCATACAAATTTGTATTTATTGTTAAGCATATATGTATTTGATATTACTATTTATTATTAAGGGTAGTTTAGTCTTTTGTACTTTCAGGGTTTGTTTAGCTTATATATATATACATATATATCTCATTTTGTAACCTTTATTTTCTATTGTTAATAAACAGTCATTATTTCTTCTAACCTTGTTTATCATTTATGGATGTATGTGTTTTCTTGATTCCTATATATAGAAGAGAGGATGTGGGAAGAGAATAGGTGAGTGTGTAGTAGGTATGGAGTAGGTGAGGAGTAGGTGGAGAGTAGGTGAAGTAGGTGAGTGTGTAGTAGGTGGTAGTGGTAGGTGTGTAGTAGGTGAATTTTAACATTTAGCTTATATATATATATATATCTCACTTTGTAACCTTTATTTTCTATTGTTAATAAACAGTCGTTATTTCTTCTAACCTTGTGTATCATTTATGGATGTATGTGTTTTCTCGACATTTTCATTATTATTCCTTTCTAATACATGAGATATGCGACTCCAAGAAGCCATGAAGCAAACAGATGGATACTCTATCCATACCCAAATGTGGGTCAGGTATATGTGGTTGCATTTTCATATGAACAAATTTATGATCGATATTCTGATCGTTGATAGAAAGTAGATACATATATGGTATGTTCATATGAATGTAACTTAATAATGTGTGTGGGTGTGACCAGCACAGGCTCATGCACTTAATTTGTTTTTTGGTTTGGATATTCATAGCAAGTTTGATTCATTGCAGTACAACACTAAAAGTAGTTCGGTAAGGCTTGCTTATGAAGCTCAACCATGCCCTAAAACATTAGCTTCCCTTGCTGGAGAAACTATAGTGAAAGTTGCTTGTGGAACAAATCATACAGGTGTTGCATGAGATCTATTTATCATTTCTCTCACTTTCCCCTCTCCTACTTTCTTTACAAGTCTTATCCACTGTCCTTTATGTGTTTTTTGCTTCTAGTTGCTGTGGATTCAAATGGCTTTGTTTACACGTAAGTTTTCCTGCAAATCAGTTGTTGATTCTTTTTCCCCCTTGTCCTTCAACAGTGTATAATACGTATAGTGACTGATTCTGGGTTACATTTTTCCAGGTGGGGCTTTGGCGGTTATGGAAGGTTGGTAGCTGTTTCTTCAGATATCATGTTTGCCACTCCAGATGCTGGATTTGAAACTTGAGTTCTGTTACATGTCTAATTTCTTCCCCATTCTTCATCTTACTACTTGAGTTTTGAATGTAGGCTTGGACATAGAGAGCAGAAGGATGAGTGGATCCCTCGTCGTGTTGATATTTTCACAAAGCACAATGTTCTACCGCCTGATGCTATAATTTCAGCTGGTTCTCTTAACTCTGCATGTACTGCTGGTAGGGTTTGTTGCTCCTTTATTAGTTTTGCAGATCTGATTGGATGGGACAATTAAAAGCCAGTGGTTTGTTTATCATTTGATTCATTTCTTCCATGGTGGCAAGGTTTTAAAAAGCGGTCGCAACCATTACGTAATGCCGTTACGTAATGGTTGTGGTGGTTACCGCCACCCGTTATGGCCGTTTTTGTGGTGTGATTGAGATTTACAAGTGTGTCGGTCGTAGCGGTTGCTGTAGCGGTCGTAACGGCCTGTTACGTAACGGTTCCAAACTGTTCTTTAAAAAAAAAAAAAACTAAATATGGGGGAAAAGGGATAGAGAGAGAGAGAGGAGAAGATGGAGTAAGAAATAGAGAGAGAGGAGGGAAATTGAAGAACATGTTATTGATTTGTTGAAGCTTTAAGACCTATGCTATTCTATTCAGCTGCTATCACTCAAACAATCTATATATTGTTTGAAAATAATAATAATAATAATAATAATAATAATAATAATAAGTGTGGTCATTATCTATTTGGCTTGATTAAATATATATATATATATATATATAGGCTCTTATTTATTCTTTTACTTTTGTTATTGTTTATCTTATATATAATAATAGTTAGTGATTGATTTTTTTGTAAAATATCTAGAAAACATAACACCTATAATTATATATTAATACATGTTAAAATTGATGTATAGAGAAATAGAGAATTGTATTATTGATTGTTTGATTATGTTTACATTGATTCCTATATATAGAAGAGTAGGGTGGAGTAGGTGTGTAGTAGATGGAGTAGGTGGTAGTAGGTGGTAGTGGTAGGTGAAGTAAGAGTAAGTGGAGTAGGTGTAGTGGAGTAGGTTTAGGTTTTAACAGCCCCCCGCAAACTCAAGGAGGAGAGACACAAATCAACTTGAGTTTGGAGAGAGTAACAAAATAGGAAAGTAAACTGATAAATAAAATAAAATAGGATAGGAGACACGGTATGGTCGTGTCAGACCGTTGTAGGAGACACTGTATGGTCGTGTCACACCGTTGGAGAAGATAATGTCTGGACAGTTGACGAGGTCACACCGGACCGATGTAGAAGCTAACCGGAATCAATGTCGGGACAGTTTATGGGGTCATGCCGGACCGTTGGAAAAGCTAACCGGAATCAATGTCGGGACAGTTTTATGGGGTCATGCCGGACCGTTGGAAAAGCTAACCGGAATCAATGTCGGGACAGTTTATGGGGTCATGTCGGACCGTTGGAAAATACACTGTATGATGGGGTATATAGGCTGCCCAAATATATATACATGGATATATATATCGAGCCCTCAAAAGTCGCGCCCTCAAAAGGCGCGCCCACTTCATCAAAAGTTGTGCCCGACAGAAATCATCGAGCGACGAGCCGTCAAAAGGTGTGCCGGACACGCGGCGAGGCACGTGAGTGACAGAGCGGCGTGTCGGCCTCTTCGTCATTATCTATATAAACCAATGCGGAGGCTGTGTAAACCAAACCAGTCGGAAAACCTCTAAACATTTTCATTCGGAAACATCTGAACATTTGCATTCTGAAACACTCTGCAACCCATAACATGGCCTTTTCTTCCCGTTCAGCTACCCAGAACATGGCCTCTTCTGCCCGTGGTCTGCTCAATCTTTTTCCCGACCTCAACGAGTCCACAAGAGAGATAATCGGGGCAGTTGCCCTTGAACCTCAACCAAGCGCCCCTGGGTTTGCTCCGTTGAACTTTCCGATGCGGTCTGTGGAGCAAAGAATGGCAGTGCAATCGGATATTGAGGCCAATCAGTATACATTGAAGTCATGCGTGGAGACCATGACTGCGGTCACAAACTTGTCGCACCGTCTTCAGAGTAGGACAAATGAGGTGCAGCAGTTAAACGTCCAACTGGCTCTGCTCCAACGCATGTATAAGGATGCGCGAGCAGAAATATGTGTGCTAAAAGCAGAAAACAAGGAGCTGAAGCGGAAGGCCACCGTTATGTTCCGATTTGGAGGTCCGCCATATGCTGCAGTGGAGGAGCAGGGGGGAGTGAACGTGCTCGGTGGATTAGGAAGCACGGAGACCGGACTGGCACGGGACAACCAAGAGAAAAGTAAGAAGAAAAGACCTGCAGTAGAGTAGAGAAGGGAAAAGAAAAATCCCACGGTGGTTGTGGTTGTTTTTTTTTTTTTTTTTTTTTTTTTTTTTTTTTTTGTTTTTTTTTTTTTTTGTTTTGTTTTTTTTTTTTTTTTTTTTTTGTGGTGTAAAATGTGGATCGGGGTTGATTTGTGAATGGTTGTTTTGTTTTGTTTTGTTTTTTTATTTTTTATTTTTTATTTTGTTTTTTTTTATTTTTGTTTTGTTTTGTACTCATACCCATGTTCTCCGGAGAGAAGGATGTGAATGTTAAAGGAATAAAAAATAAAAAATATAGATATGTGTGAAAAGTAATCAGAATATATATATATATATATATTTTTATTTTATTTTATTTATTTATTTTTTTTTTGGTGAAGTGAATGTGTGAAAAGTGGCCTGCCGTGTGAATGGTATCTCTCTCTCTTCACATGGGGCTGTCTCTCTTGCAAGTATGTGTGATAAAATAATAAAAAGAAAGGTGGGTGGTGTGGTGTGTAAAGCGTGAATTGAAAGATGAAAGTTGATGATGATGCATGCCTGTAATGCAATCTCTTTTATTATGTGAATAGTGAGGGCTCCATGGTAGGAGAGGTCGAGATGTGACTGTCTTTTTTTGGGTTAGATTTTTTTTTTTTTTTTTTAAACTGTAGAGAGAGGGATGTCGTGCATGTATGTGTATGCTGTGTGTGTGAATGGTGTAGCAGTGTAGTGTGGGTCTCTTGAGTGTGTGTCCCCTCTCTCTCTAAACCGTGTGTGTGTGTTTAGGAGAGAGAGACGGTGGCGGAGAAGGTGCTGGTCAGTCAGCAGTGGATCGACAAAGAGCAAGGAGGAAGTTAAGGATGAAGCAGCGATCTGAGGGAGACAGCTGCGATCTGAAGGAGACGATAGAGAAGGACGATCTGAGGCGATTTAAGGCAGAAGAGACAACTCCAGCGACTCCGACGACTAGCCGTTGTTGATTCGCGTGACGGCGGAGTCATAGTGGTTAAACTCAATCCGAGGTCGGAGATCAAAGACTACAGATCGGTGATGACATTCTCAAGCTCCATAGATTTGAGAGAGCTACGGCGGCAGATGGAGATGAGGAAGACGACGTCGGTGAAGAAGACGACGCTGCGAGGATGCCGCTGACGCCGAAGCTAGCGACGCCGTCGAAGTAGTCGGAGCGTTGAAGGATTTGGGGTGGAGAAGGGTTTGAGGGGAGAGAGTGACAGAAGATGAAGAGAGAGAATTAGAAAATTTGGGTTTGGCCGGCGGACGGCCAAGGCGAGGCTGCCGCCCGCCGGTGAAGCGGAATTACTAAGTTCTTAACCTCGCTCTGATACCATGTTAAAATTGATGTATAGAGAAATAGAGAATTGTATTATTGATTGTTTGATTATGTTTACATTGATTCCTATATATAGAAGAGTAGGGTGGAGTAGGTGTGTAGTAGGTGGAGTAGGTGGTAGTGGTAGGTGAAGTAAGAGTAAGTGGAGTAGGTGTAGTGGAGTAGGTTTAGGTTTTAACAATACATATTTTGCCAATTTTTTTTGATTAGTTTATTTTATTTTTATTTACAGGTTATCCAAAAAGAGAATGAATATTCAAGTGATCTAAACCCAAAAAAAAAAAAAAAAAACTTCGTAATTTATTTTTTTATTTTTATAAAATTACATTAGCATGTATAATTTTTTTTTAAAACTATTCAAATTAAAATTTGCATATGCTTCCACAAGTATAATAATTAAAAAAATGATTTTATACATCTAACTCTAATAAAAAAAATTTTTGCCACAAGCTTAATATGGATTTATGACATATAAAGTCATTAATTATTAAAATAAACTGTAAAAAACTCAGTTTACAGTGATTTAAAAATATGAAATATATTGGATCATATTAAAAATTTACAAAAATTGATCAATATTTATTTTAAAAAACCCAATAAATATGATTATGGAAAAAAAATGTGTATTGGTAAATTTTTTTCAAATTGTGCGAAAAATAAAAAAATTTATGGTTCTGGTTACCGCAACCGTTACACTACGGCCTTTACAACCCGCAACCGCAACCGCGCCACCACTACCGTTACGGCAACCGCAACCGCAACCGCTTTTCAGAACCTTGTATGTTGTTGGTATTACTGAAGTGACAAATTTCTCAAAACAGTTGCTCAAAAAAACTTGTTTATGTTCCCAATTAACAAGCTTTCATTTGCTCTCTAGATGTATTAGAAGATTAATCTCTTAAACTTACTGAAGGATTTGGTAATGAATGTACTATTTGCTGCAAGGACTAAATCTAGATTGTTGACAACCCTTCTCTGTATTCATGCATTCGGTTGGCTTACACAGCCATGCTTTAATAATTTGGTATTGAGTGTTGAAACTTCTCTATTTTCCAGGTGGAGGACAGTTGTATATGTGGGGCAAAATAAAGAATGCCGGAGACGACTGGATGTACCCTAAACCTCTTATGGATTTAAGGTTCTGCTCAGCCTTTGCTGTGTCACTTCTTCCGTAGTGTTTTTTTATGTTTCCTTGAACATCTATAGTTGATTGGTGCTTTAAGCTTTATTCTACCAGCTAGATGCATCTTTTTGTGACAGTAGTTGTTTTATGTCTACTTGATTAGTTTATCTTGTCATGTTTGTTGATGGCTACAATTATTAATTTCTTCTTCAATTATGTACCTTCTTTGACTAGCCATCCCCTGCATTCAAGTTCTGTACCTAATTTCTAGTTTCGTGTGCATATGATGTTAATTATTAATTGCTGATTCTTAATGAATTTTGCAGTAATTGAAATGTAAAAAATAATGTATAGAGAAAGAGAGAGAATAAATTGTATGTATTATTATTGCTTGATGTAATGTTATATAAATTACAATGATTCATGATTCCTATATAGGTGGAGAGTATGTGGATTTAGTGGGTTAGGTTTAGTGGAGTAGGTTTAAGTGGGTGAAGTAGGTGGAGAGTATGTGGATTTAGTGGGTTAGGTTTAGTGGAGTAGGTGATGTGGTAGTGGTGTAGTGGGTTAGGTTTAGTGGAGTAGGTTTAAGTGGGTGAAGTAGGTGGAGAGTAGGTGGATTTTAACATGAAATATAGTAGGACTAAATTAATGTGTAGTGGCATTTGTTACTCCAGGTTCTTTAAAGGTAATGTTGAATTGAAATCTTCTTCTCATTTTGGTGCTTGAATCTGGGATATCAATAGAGTAGGTAAAAAGTTCAGCAGCATGTGGCAATAAGATAGATAACTAACACCAGTTCTAGAGTTTGTTCCCAGCTCCTTATAGATATAGGTTGTGATTATGACCTTAGCATTATATGCATAGTGTTTTGCATTTGTAGGTACCTATACCACGAGTCTAGATCTAGAGTATTTTTTGTATGGTTGAGATTTTTTTTAGAGTAATTATTTTCAACACTATTGTACCCTCAACTTTTGTAGAATTAAATCTTAGCCATTTAAAAAATCACTCTAGAGGATCTTGATTCCTATACCACACCCGACACTGTCATTGCCATCACACCCCCACGTGGCAGAGTTGCAAGGCACCACAGTCAATTGAGATTGCATGTGTAGCCTAAGTGAGAGCATACACACCACCAAGTATGAGAGCTCTAAGGCAAATGAGTTGGGTTGTCAATCTGCCTAGGCGCTCACCTTGGGTTCTTGGCTCACCCACGCTCACTTTGCAGCCTAAAGTTGAGCACTTGGCTCACATATTTCCCTCTCAACCCCAGTGTTATTAAAGGCGTGCGCTTAGGCCGAAGTCCTATCTAGGCCCAAGGTTTGCGCCTTATAGTGTTCCAGGCCAGGCGACTTCGATAAGGCGCCTGACTGGTCCAAGGCACAATAAGGCCCAAGGCTTGTGTCTTGAGGACTTTTTTTATTGTTGCTTTAATTGGTTTTGTTTAAAACCTGACTATTGATTTAATATGGTGAATCTACTGAAGATTTCTACTCTTATTACAGATGCCAATACATTGGGCATTCAATCCCAAATTAAACCAAACCAAGCCTTAAGTCCCATCAAATGGGATTGGCTACATGTATCCTTCTTCTCCAAGCGGCTCTATGAAAGACAATTTCGTTAGTCAAATTAAGTAGATCCATATCTCTATTTACAACGCTAGCCAACGTTAATCTAGGCCTACCCGGTCCCCTAACACTACCATCTACCATCACTGCATCGCATCTCTTCACTATTACCTCTGTTAATGGACCAAACCATCTCAATCGATCCTCTCTCAACTTATCTTCTATCAGTGCTACTCCTACCCATTCCCGAATACACTCATTCTCATTCCTAATTCTGTCTTATCTAGTCTTGCCACACATCCACCTTAGCATTCTCATCTCAACAATACTCTATATGTTGTTTCTTGGTTGCCTAACACTTCGTCCCATACAACATCGCTGGTCTAATAGCTCTTCTATAGAACTTACCTTTTAGTCTAGTAGGTATTTGTTTATTGCACAATACCCTAGACGCACTTCTCCACTTAAGCTATCCTGCCTTAATCCTATGGGCCACATCTGCATCAATCTCCCCTGTCGTTGTGATAATCGACCCTAAATAACGAAAATGTTTACTCTTAGACAGTTCTTGGTTCTCAATCTTCACTTATCTGCTTTCATTATTACTGTTACTAAATTTACATTCTATGTACTTTGTCTTAGTTCTGCTTATCTTGAATCGTTTAGATTCAAGTGTTTTTCTCTAAATCTCCAACTTTGTGTTAATTTCTTTTCTAGTCTCATCTACTAACACGATATCATCTGCAAAAAGCATACACCATGGCACGTTATCCTGAATATTTCTCGTCAACTCATCCATAACTAAAGAAAAAAGATAAGGACTTAATGTAAATCCTTGGTGTAACCTTACAGTGGTAGGAAATTCATTTGTCTCTCCGGCAGGCGATTTAATAGTGGTCACCACCCCTTTGGTGAAGCCTGCGCCTCGCCTTGTGCCTAGGCCCAGGAGACCTCGGCGCCTTAGTGTACCAATCGTCTTTTATAACATTGCTCGGCCCTTCAGCCCACATGTTTTGCCTAAGGTTAGGCCTTACCTCACTCATTCTACTCAAATACTTGGCTATCTAGGCTGGGAGTAGGGCCAAGCACTCCCGCTTGGGACCATTGGACGACTATGGACTGGAGGCTAAAACCATGGGACCATCAAGGTCTTGCTTGGCTATCTCCTTGTCAAGGTAGCTCCACCTTGACCAGGTTTAGAAAGGTTATGTGTACCTTACACCCACGCCTCTGCGTGCATGATACGTTGCCATGGAAGATAGTAGACCTTCCACCCCAGACGATAGTAGAGCTAATATCAACTCCTTGAGCTGAGGAGAGCCCACCCCCAATAGGTTGCTTGGGCTCCAATACTAGAGGAGCCAATATGACGGATCATACATGTAGCGGCCATCATCATCACACAACAATATACACCTATCACTACACAAACCGTAAGTGTTCAAGGTCTCTAACTATCACACCCCCATCTCTAAACGTGCCTTGATCTTCTTGATAGTTGCCGAAATGTACACATTTAGGATCTTTTCACCTATGCTTTTTAGCCTGCTATGGCGATAACTTGATACATTCAACACAATTGATTAAATCAGGTTAATCTAGACCAAAGGAGCAAAAAGGAGTGCAATAGGCCAAAAAAAGCTTTCACCGCATGTGCGGCACCCACTCCCGTACGTGTGGCACCCACTCCCGCACGTGCAGTCCCTAGTAAAAATCACCAATTGCACATTGCACCAATCTGAACATCCGACAACATTTCCTGCACGTGTGGCCATGCCTTGGGATGTGTGCACAATGTTTTGAAGTAAAGGCTAGGGTTTTGAGAAGGCATGGACTTCAAGGTTGCAAGTGCTCCCTGGTTTAGGGTTATACTTCTTAGTTGGTAGTCATACTAGACTTTCTTGTTTTACTGATGCGGATTATGCTGGGTCCAAGACTGATAGACAATCCACTTCAAGTTTTTGTACTCTCTATGGTAAACATCTGTTATCATGGAAAAGTAAGAATCAAGTTGTGGTTTCTTGTTCTTCAGCTCAGGCTGAGTATCGAGCTATGGCTAAGGGGACATGTGAACTTTTATGGTTGTGTTCAATTATTTTAGAGTTAGGTTATGAGGAAGCTTGTTCATCTCAATTATATTGTGACAACAAGTCTGCTATCATTCTTTCTTCCGATTCAGTTCTTCATGAGAGGGCTAAGCACATTGAGGTTGATGTCCATTTTATTTGAGAGAAAGTTCGCACGGGTCATGTTAGTCCATCATTTGTCTCTTCCTCTGACCAGACTACCGACATGTTCACCAAGTTTGTGGGACCTTCTTTGCTTCAATCATCCATTGTCAAGTTGGATTTAGAATCTTTGAACCAGCTTGAGGGGGAGTGTTGGAATATATTATATATGCTAATATATTGTTTTTGGTATTCTTAGAATAGAATCCATGATTACACAATCACTGATTACTTGCTTGTAATTGTTTTGATTTATTATTTCCTTTCTTGTAAAGACGCATTCATTCAATATGTATGCAGGGTCTCACCTATTGATAGGTAAGCCATTCAATCGTCTTCGTGTTGCTACCTTAGTATAGAGCAAACAACTTGTACTACTTGAGATGATTCTTGCATATATGTTAGACACGACAATCCTCTTGATTAATGTTTCAAACTTGTAGTTGTGAAATATTGGGTGGTTTAAACAGTGTAATAATCAATTTATGACTTCAAACCCTATTTATGTAGTTAGTGGTGGATTCATTTTCCTAGGATTTTTCCCCAATCAATCTCTCAATTCTAATAAAACAAACCAAACCAAACCAAACCAAACCAAACTTAGTCTTAAGTCCCATCAAATGGGGTCAGCTGTATGAATCCTTCTTCGCTTGACTTTATTCAAGGCCATTTCGTTAGTCAAATTAAGGAGATTCATATCTCTATTTACTACACTAGTCCATCTCAATCTAGGTCCACCCCTTCCCCTAACACTACTGTCTACCGTCACTGTATCGCATCTCTTCACTACTACCTTTATTGGTCTCCGTTGTATATGATCAAACCTTCTCAATCTCTCCTCTCTCAACTTGTCTTCTATCGGTACTATTCCTACCCATTCTCGAATATACTCATTTCTAACTCTGTCTTTTCTAGTCTTGCCATACATCCACCTTAGCATCCTCATCTTATCTACATGTTTTTTAATTGCCTAACATTTCGTCCTATACAACATCGCTGGTATAATAACCGTTTTATAGAACTTCCCTCTTAGTCTAATGGGTATTCGATTATCGCACAGTATTCCAGACGCACTCCTTCACGTAAGCCACTCTGCATTAATTCTGTGGACCACATCCGCTCCAATCTCCCCAGTCATTGTGATAATCGATCCTAAATAACGAAAATGTTCACTCTTTGGTAGTTCTTGGTTCTCAATCTTCACTTCTCCTCTGCTTCCATTGTGACTGTTATTAAAATTACACTGCATATACTCTATCTTAGTTCTGCTTATCTTAAATCCTTTAAATTCAAGTGTTTTTCTAAAAGATCCGAGCAGCTTTTTTACATGTTGATTGTCGGCTACCTAACACACAACCCTCCTCCCTTACCCGAGCTTGGGACCGGCAGAGTTGTTAAGCAACCCCGGCGCAGTTAAATCTCTCAATTCTAATATTTAGTTTAATTTGAATTTTTATCCACATTTCAATTCTCGATTCAATCTTTGTCAACCACTTTCGTCAAATTAATTTAAGAATCTTAATATCTCATTACTCCATGTGGACCTTTGACGACCTGCCAGAGCAGTAGAGAAACTCAAGTAAGGACCTTGGAGCACATTCCGGTTGCTTCTCCAAAGGAGCTGACCTCTCAACCCGCCATAGTTGAACAACTCCGTTCCTTGGCAGAGCGTGCAGCCTCACAAGCCATGCCTTGGGATGTGTGCACCCCCTGGTCGCCACAAAGTGGTTACCCTCCAACAGAATCAACAACTCCTTACTTTGTTTCAATGTTTTAAACCTTGATTTGAGGTCACTTTAGTCATTTCAGAAGAATAATCAAGTTGTACAAGGTTTAAGTGGGTTAATATAGATATGGGAGCAATGTGTGGAATTTTTTGGAAGATTTATTGAGGTCTATAACCATTTTACAGACCTTAACCATTGACTCATCCAGGATTTACCATTTTTTACTGTGTGTCATATATGTCAGTCTAGTTATCTACCTTGATCAAAAAAGTTAATGCCTCATGATTAATTCTCTTCAGCCACTTGAGGTTGCTTCCATCCCCATATTTAAGAAGGCACCTATACATTATTGAATCAAAGAATCAGTAATGTAATGCTGTCTTAGGTCAGTTATCTTTTCTATGGGTCAAATTGTAACATGTGACATTTGGTATGTAATTATGCTTACAACATCTGTTTATCTTCAAGGTATAGCTACAAGATACTATGTTCATGATCTGTTTGACCTTTTTGTGGAAAGATTGGCACGTGGTTTAGAGATTAGGTTTGCGATATAATTTTTGTTCAAAAATTTGAAGCTGTCTTTTTAAATAACCCTTTTAAATGTTATTTGTACATTCTATTGAATTCCTGCTTTTGTTTCCAATTTTGAAGCATTGAGACTGGAGTTGTATAGATGATTTCCTGCATCCTATTTCCATCACTGTGCATATGTTTTCCAGGTGCTCATTGGCAGTGGCATTTTGTTTATGCAGTCATTAAGGAAATCATAAATTTTAATTTTCTCGAACTTTTGTCAGCATAATAGCACAATAAAATACACACCGTTGCATTTATTTGTTCTCTTACAGTGGCTGGAATATACGTTGCATGGATTCAGGCAATACGCACCATTTTGTTGGTGCTGAAACTTCATGCATAAGCTGGGGCCAATCTTTGTCTGGGGAGCTGGGATATGGACCGGATGAACAAAAGTAAGTTCATTCATTTGTAAAAGTACTTTGGTCTTTTCGAGCTTCTCTCTATTACCATTGTGTTATCACTTTTGTGTTTGTTTGTACCCTGTAGATCTTCTACAAATCCCAAGAAAGTAGAAATTCTTGAGGGCATGCATGTCATCAGGTTGGTACTTTACATGTGCACATGTATGCCATGCTTAAATTTTACTCACTGGGGGCTATTTTTTTTGTAGTGTTGCATGTGGATTTGCCCATTCCCTGGTGGTGGCTGATAGAATGAATGTTGGTGACCTTCTTGATCAGGTAACTCTTCCCACACCACTACATGCGTAATCTACCAATATTGGAAGTTTTGAGTATTCCTGTGCCTTGTGAATTAATACATTGTTAAAATAGGAAATAATATTTTATATTCTTATTTCCTTAATTTATTCCCTTGATTGATGTAATGGGCTAGCCCATAATTTATGCCTTATGGCACTCTTGTAATTAATCATTATGATCAATATAAAAGGGGATGAGGTCTAACCGATTCCTCAATTCTTTCTCTTCTCTAAACCTACATGGTATCAGAGCGTTAACAGGAGGAACCTAACGCCAATCAAACAACACCCGAAGGACTGCCCTAGGCCACCCGAAGGCAGCCCTTGGCCATTCGGCCTTTACCTGGTTAAGCCGAAGGACAGTCAGCTCTCTCTAGGGCAGCCGAAGCCTCCTTTGCCCTCCTCTAGACCTGTCGGCAGCCCTAGCCCATCCATATAGGTCTGTTAGCACTCCTGGAGGCTTCATAGACCTCGTCTGGTCCACCCCTACTTTTGTCGGCTCTCCTGGAGGCTTCATAGTCATCATCTGGTCCACTCCTGCTTCCGTCGCACTCGTCTGGTCAACCCTTGCTTCAGTCGCCCTCGTATGGTCTTCTTGGTCCACTGGTGTGTTGACTGGGGTCTAATACATGGCCTGATCTTCTCTTCTTTGTGTCCCTGTGAGCTTCTTCTCTGTTTCTTTCGTAATGCGTAAACAACAAAAAAAACTATAAAAAAAAAAAAAAAAAAAAAAAAAGGGTAAAGTATGCAAGCTTCGAAAGTCACTGTACAGGCTAAAGCAATCTCCTAGGGCTTGGTTTGAAAGGTTTACTCAAGCTATGTTGAGATATAGGTTCAAGCAAAGTCAAGTTGATCACACTTTATTTGTGAAACACTCCTCACATGGTAAGACCACAACCCTTATTGTTTATGTTGATGATATTGTTCTGACAGGGGATGACGTCGAGGAGATCCCTCAGTTGAAGGAATACTTAGTCGAGGGCATTGAAGTAGCCAAGTCCAAGGATGGTATCTTCATATGTCAGAGAAAGTATATACTTGACTTGCTAAAGGAAACTAGGATGCTTGGCGGTAGATCTTGTGATACACCTCTAGACTTGGGCCAAAAACTAAGTGAGGATCAAGAGGGAGAGCCAGTAGACAAGGGGAGATACCAGCGGCTAGTGGGTAAGTTCATAATACTTGTCCCACTCATTTCCAGACATTGCCACTGCAGTGAGCGTGGTTAGCCAGTTTATGTATGCTCTTAGAACGAGGTCGTTATGAAAATCTTGAGGTACTTAAAGTCTTCTCCTGGAAAGGGTCTCTATTTCTCAAAACATGAACATCTCGGGGTGAGGTATTTACTGATGCGGATTGGGCTGGATCAGTCACTGACAAACGGTCAACTTCTGGATATTGCACATTTGTTGGAGGCAACCTAGTCACATGGTGAAGTAAGAAACAGAATGTGATTGCTAGATCTAGTACTGAGGCAGAATTCAGGGCAATGGCTCAGGGTATATGTGAGTTGCTATGGATTAGACTATTGTTGGGAGACTTGGGGATCCATCAGACCGATTTCATGAGATCATACTGTGACAACAATGCCGCAATCAACATAGCTCATAATGCAGTTCAACATGACAGAACTAAGCATGTGGAGATTGATAGGCACTTCATCAAGAAAAATCTCACTAATGGCACCATATGTATTCCATTTGTAAAGACTGGGGACCAATTAGCACCAAGGGCATAGGGAGCAAACCATTTCATGGCATTCTCAATAAGCTGGACTTGAGAGATATTTTCGCACCAGCTTGAGGAGTGTTAGAATAGGAAATAATATTTTATATTCTTATATCCTTAATTTATTCCCTTGATTGATGTAATGGGCTGGCCCATAATTTATGCCTTATGACACTCCTATAATTAATCTTAATGATCAATATAAATGGGGATGAGGTCTAATCTATTCCTCAACTCTTTCTCTTCTCTAAACCTACATACATATGTATTTTTATAAATTGATTGTCCTCTGATTAATTACTTGACACGCAATTGATTTTTTTGGCTTACTTTAAAATCTATAGGATTTAACTTGCTCTTTTGGTTGGAAAATTCTTAGCAAAACATGAGATTAAAGAAAAAGAAAAATGATGTAACAGGTGTAGATGAAGCTAAGGGTCTGTTTGGATGGATATGGATTTCAAAACAAGGGATTTGAAGGGTATGTTTGGTTTGGTTTTGAGAGAGTAGTTTTTAAAAATTGTTTTGGGGAGAGAGTTTAGAAATTTTTTTGGTTTGTTTGGTTGTGTATTTTGAAAGTAGTTTTAGAGTTTGGGAGTTTGGAATGATTTAATATTTTGTTGTAATTGAGTAGATGTGTGTGAGAGAAAAAGTGATTGAGAAGGAGAAAGGAGAGAGAAAAAGTGATTGATTGATGTGTAAGAGAGAGTGATTTTGGAAATTGTTTTGGAAAAATTACAAACCAAACAAGTTTTTTAGAAAAAATTTTCCCAAAATCACTCTACAAAACCAAACCAAACCAAACATACCCGAAGTTACTGGATGGAAAAACTATGGAAAAAGATAAGTTGAGATAAAAGATACATATTTGAGATAAAAGATACATATTTCCTATCACTGTAGGGTTACACCAACTTTGATTTCTTATCTTGTTGCTTTAGTTATGGATGAGTTGACGAGAAATATTCAGGATGACGTGCCATGGTATATGCTTTTTGCAAATGATATTGTATGAGACTAGAGAAAGTGTTAACACAAAGTTGAAAATTTGGAGAAAAGCACTTGAATCTAAAGGATTCCGGATAAGTAGAACTAAGACAGAGTACATGGAGTGTAAATTTAATAACAATAACAATGAAAGTAGAGGAGAAGTGAAGATTGAGAACCAAGAACTGCCTAAGAGTGAACATTTTCGTTATTTAGGGTTGATCATCACAACATCGAGGGAAATTGATGTGGATGTGGCCCATAGAATTAAGGCGGGATGGTGTAAATAGAGAAGTGCGTCTGGGGTACTGTGCGATAAACGAATACTCACTAGACTAAAAGGTAAGTTCTATAGAACAACTATTAGACCAGTGATGTTGTATGGGATAGAGTGTTGGGCAACCAAGAAACAACATGTAGATAAGATGAGTGTGGCTAAGATGAGGATGCTAAGGTGGATGTATGGAAAGACTAGACAAGACAGAATTATGAATGAGTGTGTTCAGGAATGGGTAGGAGTAGCACCGATAGATGATAAGTTGAGAGAGAATCGATTGAGATGGTTTGGTCATATTCAATGAAGACCAACAGAGGCAGCAGTGAAGAGATGCGATGTAGTGACGGTTGATGGAAGTGGTAGGGAACCAGGTAAGCCTAAATTAACGTTGGTTAACGTTGTAAATAGAGATATGGATATACTTAATTTGACTAACGAAATGGCCTTTGATAGATCCGCATGGAGAAAAAGGATTTATGTAGCTGACCCCATTTGATGGGACTTAAGGCTTGGTTTGGTTTGGTTTGGTTAGCTAGAAAGAGAAGCCTTAGCATGATCTCAAATAATTGCTTATGTATAGTTATTTCAAATTCATAGACAAGCTATCATATCTCAATTCAAGTTATTGTCCTTGAATGATTAGGTCAAATCCCTTGGATTTGAAATCCATATTCATCCAAACAGACCTTAAACAGTTTTAAGAATTCTATGTTTTTAATTGTGATTAAGTAGAGATTAATGTGCCTTTGGAAGTACAAAACCCCCACATGGGTTTTCTATTATATTTATCTACGAAGCACATGCACACACGACACGACATGAATATGCATAGACACACTGATACATCAATTTTCAAAAAATACAGAATACAACACGTGGAGAACATACACAAAATATATGACTTTATATATTTATTTATGTCATTTATGAATATTTCATTAAAAGATAATAAAAAAATACAACATAACGTTAATTCCTACAAGAGTTTACAGGAGGAATTAATAGGTATAAATCTATATTGTTTCATGTGGATCTCTAAGTTGTGTTGTTCAAATCAAACTTATAATGTGTTTCACATGGATCTCCCAAGTGTCTGAAGCGTATTTGGGTCAAAAAAAATAAAAATAAATAATATAACAAATTAGGATGTGTGTTTGACAAATGTCAAGAGTGTCTAATGAGTGTTGGTAACATGGATATGACATAGACACACCTTAGAAGTGTTCATGCTTCTTAGATATTTATTTATAAAGAGTGCTACTATTACCATCTCATTTATTACTTTGGACCCCCACTTATAAATTTCAAAACCTTTAAAATTTCTCTCAAAATTTCAATCCTTCCCTCCAAATAATACCAAAATTATCCTTTTGAAAACTTTACATCCACTAAAATGCTCACCCCTTAGCACACCCCTAAAAACCATTCATCTCCCAAAACCTTAAAGTTCAAATATGAAGTTCACCATGGAAATCTCCCCGTCGATCATGTTTCGCACTCTCATGGCAGTATCTCTCTCACTCTCTCACGGTGGTATCTCTCTTGCTTTTTACAACTCTCTCTCTCTCTCTCTCTCTCTCTCTCTCTCTAAAACCTATGAGGCATAGGTGCGGGTATGGGTGCGGGTATGGGTACGGGTACGGGTACGTCACTTTTTTTTTAATTTTTTTTTTAAAAATTTATAGCTGAACATCCAACATACAAATCAAAGATTCAATATTAAACCTAAAAAAAAAATAGCTTGTCTAAAAAATTATATAATTCTTTATTTTTCTTTTTTGATTGTCTAAAACATGATGCAAAATAGAGCAAAATCATGACTCATAAGTAAAGGTTGTTGGAAATAAATTACTTGATATTTCAAAATTGAAAGAAGAATAATAAAGGTTGCAACAAATTCTAGCAGTTACAAAAAAAAAAAAATAATTCACCTCGCCGTACCGATGTCATACTGATGCTGTACCACGACGTACCTGACATGTATTCGG